TAGGGACACCCAGGTTCATCTTTGTCTAAGACCATTCATATGCTACTAGTTTTGGTATTGTTGGTGCTAAACAGACATCTCCCCTTCCCCTTCCCCTCTTCTCCCCCACCCAACTCTGCTTCCCATCTACCTTAACTTATCTATTTCTCGATTTCCATAAGATTAAGGGGTCCTTCCATGGATCCCAAGGCCAGGTGTAGGAGTCTATAGATGATTCATCTTATCTTTTTAGAATAGTGCTTTTCTAAGAACCGTGTGGTGTTGGCATAGAATTTGGGCTCCTCTACATCCTAGCATGCTACTTATCTCTCCACTGACATATAGCTTTTTAACATAGTATTCTTCCTATACCTTAGCCTTAAAATTTTTTTCTTGATGGCTTTTTTTTATACCACAGACATTTTCTGAATTGTACCTACACACCAAAGAATGCTCCCTTGTCACAAAAGAAAACAGTTAACCAAGACAAACCAACAAGTCCAAGTTTGGTAATATATGCAACATTCTGCATCTGTGGTTCCCCACCTCCCTCTCTACTGAGAGGGATAAAGAATGTTTATCAAATGCCAAATGTAACCAAAATTTATAATTATCTTTAATGTGAGTTAAATCATCTTTTAGTTCACTGACTCTTAATTTAAGAGTGTCTAGAAATATTACCCCACTGTGGTCCACACTAAGTAGTAAATGTCCAGTATCCCCTCTCCTCCTCAAACCTCTATTTCTAACCATCCCCCCACTAATCTTGCCCCTTCACCTGCCAGCCAATGCCTTAATCTTCTAACAGATGTGAGAGAAATTATTATTAATAAATAATTATCAATATGTGGAACCAGAGTTTTTTATCTTTTTACTTTCTTATTCAAAACCTGTAGATTAGTTAGCCTCTGAAGGACAAGGGCTGACAATGAGATTGGCCTGACCCTTCTGAGCATTCTCCTCAATCTTGGTCAGGACTCCACCCAACAGGGAGTACTTATTTATGATTAAAGTGTAAAGAGAATATAATTTAGGACACCCTTGAAACCCTCACTGGTCAATTTCAGTGGTCTGGGTGGAGACAGATGCCTTTGTCCAGATGACTGGAAGTAGCTGAGTCTGTGCAAGAGGAACTGAACGCTTTCAGCCCTCCTCTTCATCCACACCTTCATTGACTGTTCACCAATCAGGACTGATGCCTGACTGTTAGGGGCACCCACTTTTCCAAAGGTATTTAAGTTTTTGGTTACTGAGAAAAACGACTGACCATCAATTTATTGATTATTTGCTAGCCTGATTAATAAATTGATTATTAATTACCTAGAAATTACCTAGAGGTAATTAATCTCTAAATGGAATATGTAGGTAAGAAATTTTGAAGGAGTCTTCCCTGAAATCATAACACCCCACCTATTATATCACAGGTAAAGACCAAGAAAGTGTTTCTATGGTTACAGCCTATCTCCCTCTTTCTTCAACCTGCATGTTCCAGCTAAGGTAAAAGAGTTTAAAAAGAATAATTAGACAGAACAAGAATCTGCTCTGAGGTACCTCTGGAAACGCATAGATCTGAAGCCCAAGAGACACTGAGTGATCAGTTCTACTGCCTTTGCTCCTTTGCCATCCATAGCTCAAATGTTCAGGAAATTCCCAGCCAACATGTCAGCATGCTAGGGAATGGGAATTAAAACAAGAGGCACTGTGGTCCTATGGTCAGCTTAGATGAAAATAGAGCAGAAGTGAAGCAAGAACCCCTCCATGTGTCAGAGAGGAGAGAAGGAGGCTATGATGGAGCTGTCACTGATGTGAACTGCTTACTATTACGTCTAATTATCACAAAAAAACTACTAATATATACTATTAAATGTGCATCAAATTAACTTTGTTCTGGGTTTTACATCATATCACCAGTAACTCTATTCATATACACTCTGTATTTGATGGTTGCTCACATATCATAGTTGTCCACATGTAACTTTAAAAAATTAGTGAGGGGGGCAGTGGGGCAGTGGATAGAGCTCCAGCCTTGGAGTCAGGAGGAACTGAGTTCAAATCCAGCCTCAGACACTTGACACTTACTAGCTGTGTGACCCTGGGGAAGTCACTCGACCTGAACTGCCTCATCAAAAAAAGCAAAAAAACAAAAACAAAAAATTAGTGAGGGAGAGGATTCTGGGAAGATGGCGGAGTAGATCAGAAAATTCCAAGCTCTCAAGATTTTCCTCCACAAAAGAGATAAAACAGCATCTGAGGGGTCCTCCTGGGACAATTGGAGAAGCTCTGAAAAAAAAAATCCTGGGATAGCTTTGGTCCCTGTGAAGAGTAAACACCTCTAGGCTAGGGACTGCTTCAACAACAAGCCAAGCCCTAGGGTTAACTGGGCATCTGAGCCAGGGAACATCATGAGAACCTCTGGTGACAAGTAATGCCAGACCCAGCTATACTGCTGAGATGCAGCCGGGGGTGAGAAGGAACCAGCACACAATGGTTGAGTGCAGAAGCAGTGGGGTGGGGACACCGCTGGCTATGGGCACTTACAGGAGGCTGGAGGTCTTGGTTTGGGTTCAAGGTCAGAGAGGAGAACTGAAGGAGGATAGGAGGCCAGAGGCACCACACCCAATATTCTAAGACAAGAGGTGATTACAAAAATTAAGCTATTACCAAAAAAAAAAAAATGCACAGGCAAAGGAGAGAATCCAACACTGAAAGTTATAACAGGAATAGAGAAGACCAGGGTGAATCTTCAGAGGAGTTTAATGAAACAAAGAAACACTCTTCTACCCCAAAGAGTAATGTCAAAAGGTTACCTGTCCAAGAAGAATTCATAGAAAAACTTAAAAAAGACTTTAAAAATCAAATGAAAGAGACTAGAGAAAAACTAAAAGAATAATCCAAGAAAAAACAAGAAGATTATGAAGAGAAAGTCAACCAATTAGAAAAGGAGATGCAGAATCTTAAGGAAGAAAAGGATTCCTTGAAATCAGAATTGGGCCCCTTATTAAAAGGATTTGTTCTATAAAACTTGGACTCAGTCAGAAGGCTGCACTCAAGAACGTAGAAGACCATATGTGGCCTCAAGGCTGCAGGTTCTCCACCCCTGGGCAAGAGGAAGTCAGTGAAGTTATAAGAGATCAAGAAATAATAAAACAAAATATAAAGAATGAAAAAATATTAGAGAATGTGAAACATCTCATTAAAAAAAAAAACAACTGATCTGGAGAGATCAAGAAGAGAAAACATAAGAATAATCGGACTACCTGAAAGCTATGATCAAAAAAAGAATCTTGAAACAATACAAAAAATCATTAAAGAAAATTGTCCCAAAGTATTAAAATAAGAGGGGAAAGTAGAAACGGAAAAAATCCACTAATCATCAACTGACAGAGATCCTATGAGGAAAACCCACAGGAATATTATAGACATATTCTGAAACACCCAGCTCAAGGATAAAATATTACAAGCAACAAGAAAAAAAATTTATATATGGTAGTTCCACAGTTAGAATCACACAAGACCTAGCAGCCACAGAAGAACTGGAGATTCGGCCAAAAACACCACACCCAGCAAAGCTAAGCACAATCCTGAATGGGAAAAAAAAATGGACATTTAATGAATTGTCAAACATTCAGGACTTTGTTTAAAATAAAACAAAAAAAACCCTGAACTTCACAGAAGATTTGACATACAAGAGGCAAGAGAAACATAAGTTACATACCAAACACCAATTATAAGGGACTCACTAAGGACAGACTATTTACCTTTTACATATGTAAAACGTTACACATATGTCTAAGATTGTTATTAGTAAATGAGTAGTTCATAATAAAGATGAGGGTAAACCTGAGCATGATATGACTTTAAAAAGTAAAACCATTCAGGAACAGCTAAAAAGAGTAATTATCTTATACAAATGAAATGCAAGAGGAAGAACCATACAGAGGAATTAGATGGGGGAGGAGGGCTATTAATCCTGGAAAGCTACTTTCTTCCAGAATGGGCTCAAAAGGGAACAATACATACACATCTAGAAGAATATAAGAGTCTTCTAAATTTAGAAAAAAAGAAAACACTAAGGGGATAGGAAGGGGCAGAGGATAAGGGAGGGATCTTTAGAGGGGAGGGTAAAGGAATAGGTTAAAGGGGGATATAGAAGGGTGTTCAGATTTACGGGAATGGGAAGCTAAGGGAAGGATTCTTAGGGGGGTAAGTTAAGTAAGGAGGGCAAGGTAGCAGGTAGAAGAGTACAAGGTATGGTAGTAGTCAGGAGGGACAGGAAATAAGAGATACGCATAAACATAAAAACAAAGATTAGGAATAGAATCTCTTTGGGAAAGTATATGTTTATACATGTGTGAGTCCACTATGTATGTATATATGTATACGTGTGTGTATATATACATATATACACATACACACACACACACACACACACATATATCCACACTTAATTGTAATCTGGGTGGGAAGGGAAAAAAAAAACAAAGTAAAAAGTACAAAATAGAGAACTAAAGAAATCCTACGAGGAAGCAAAGAAAAAACGGACAGCTTTCAACACAACATGTAGGATTAAATATATATACTTTCTTGAAATGGAAATTTATTGCTATATATTTTGAATCCTTTCTTATGGTCTGCTGTGCACATGACATCCTTTTTTTATTTTCTTATTTTATATTTAAGTTTTAATATTTAAGTTTACAATATGTTTCTTTTTTCTTTTTATGTATTTAAGTTTCGGTATTCAAATCTAAAATAAAAAAGTTTAAAAAAATTAGTGGGAACACTGCTTAAAACATTACTTAAAATACTAAATTTCCTCTACTATATTAGGATTACGAGTCAATTCTCAACAAATGAACTACATAACATTTCATGAACACAACTACTGCATAAAACAAGGTAGTTCAATATTTAAAACTATTTATCAGTTTAAGCAAAGACTATTGAAAAGAACATGAGTATTTAAAAAGCAGTTCAAGTTTCTTTAGCTAAATTGTAAAGAACCTCAAGGATAATCTTACCTGGGTTCTGGCTATAAAAAGGTCCTCCATTCACCTGGTTCTGAAGGCTTGTCTGTGAGGTGATGGAAGGAGGACGTCTGTAGGGCAAAGAGCCTCCTATTGTTGGGGGAGTATGCCGAGAAGCAGGTCTGTTCATGCTGTAGAACTGAACAGGGTGACCTGGTTTGGGGGTGAGCAATAATCTGTCATTCAAAATAAAATATTAAAACCTTAATTAAATAAAAAATGTAAATAACAAAACTACTTTAAAGATAGCAATTTTAAAATTTAATAAGAGTACTCAATAAGGTTTAATATTTAGACAAGCTGAATCCAAGTTACCTTGAAATGATAAATAGCAAAGTAATTGTTACTCTACTTTTATTATTGGCACCTAGATGACCCAGTGAATAGAGTGCTGGCCCCCTGAGTCAGAAGGACCTGAGGTCAAATCTGGCCTCAGACACTTACTGTTTCCTCATCTGTCAAATGAGTTAGAGAAAGAAATGGCAAACCATACTGGTATCTTTGCCAAAAAAAACCCAAATAGGGTCATGAAGAGTCAGACAAGACTAATCAACTAAACAACAAACTTTCATTATCAAGTGAGAAAAGTAGTTAAGTAAAATAATAGCTAAATTTAATAAATCTACTCCCAAATGGATTACTAAGTTATGTGTTACATCAGGTTTATATGTTCTTCTATGCATGCCATTTCAAATTTTTAATTGTCAACTAAGTATCCAAAATTGCAACAGAACAAATTGAAAATTAATGAAATCTCTGACTTAAAATCCAAGAGGAACAGGAAATACATATCATGTCTAATTCAAAAAGGTGAGAATGATAATTAGGAAAAAAATGATCTGTTAAGAGAGAAAGTAGTACAAGACATTTCAAAAAATGATAAAATGAAATCATCAGATGAAAATTAAAAGACTTTTATTATTTAAGTAAACAAATTAATCATTAGAATTAGATTGTTTTGTTAGAGCATTACTAAAAGATCTAAGAGATTCCTATAAAAGTAACTGGGAACTAGACAGTTGCATAGTATAATGAAAAGAAACTATAAATCTGGAGTCCAAGGACATGTTTTCAATTCTGCCTTCACCATGGATCATGTGACCCTGGACAAGTCATATAGCCTCTGCAGGCCTCAACTCCTTCCACTGTAAGATAAGAGGTTGGATTACGGGGACTCTGAGGCCCCTTCCCATTCTACAGCGATCGTCTTGTAGAGGAGACTCAGAGCTGCACAGACCTTTGATCAAGCCTCTGGGTCTAACCCTCTCCTTTAGAGATGTGCAGACTGTGGCCCAGAAAGTAGTGACTGGTCCAAGGCCAGGACCTCAAACTGCAGCTCCAACACTTTACATCATTGCATCACGTGGTTTCCCACAGGTTTCTCTGAAGATCCTTCCATTTCTCAAAGTCTGCGATCTACTGTTGATTCAAACTAAGAAACTCCACAGAACTCTCCCTCTCTTTCTCTCTTTTTTTTTCTCTCTCTCTCTCTCTCCCTCTCTCTCTCTCTCTCTCTCTCTCACACACACACACACACACACACACCATAAATAAGATGCATCATACATCAAATTCAGTATCAAGGTTAAACCAAAGGGTTTTTTTTTTTGGTCTATGATTTTCTTTTACATGACTAACATGGAAATGTTATGCATGACTACACTTGTATCACCTATATGAAATTATTTGCCTTCTCAGTGAAGGGGGTGTCCAGTGGGAGGGAGAGAATTTGGAACTCAAAGTTTTAAAAACAAATGTTGAAAATTAGGGAAAGATAAAATACTAAATAAATACATATATTTTTTAAATACTAAACCAACCACATCATCATCACCATCAAAAAGTTTCATTCTATGGCAAATTTTTATCAGTTAAAATCAACTGGAGATTTTATTTCCTATTTCATTTTGGGGGAGGATGGGGAAGAGGGGATATATAAAACAGAGTAGAATATTACATAAACTTTTTTTTAGGCAGTTCTATTCAGAACTTTTTATAAGGAAAAATAAATGCATACTATTCTTTACCATGCTTCTCCTCTTACAAATAAAATTATGCCTTTTTTTACACTGTTAACAAGAGTTTTTAGGTTCAATCAATAACTTAACCGGAATCCCAGAATTTCATAGCTGAAAGGGACCCCAAAGGCCATCTATTGCAAACAGCACCAGAAAAAGAATCCTTTCTACAGTATACCTGGCAACTGATTATCTAGCCCAGAGGTTCCCAAAGTATGTTCCTGGGGTTCCTAGGATTTCTGAGACCTTTTCAGGGAGTGGGGATGATCAAAACTCATTTCAAAATAATACTAAGATACTATTTGCCTACTAAAATACTCTTCCCTCTTCAAACTACATATCTGAGACCAGATTGTCTTTATATACTGAAATCAAAACAACACAGTACAACAGATTGAATTCAGAACCAAATATGAGAATCTAGCCATCTTCTATAAAAGAGGTTTACAAAGACATGTAAAATAATGCCACTCTCCTCACCAATTTTGATTTTGTTTTGGAAAATATAGCAATATTTATTAAAATGTCATTTATGTTAACATGTAATGGGTTTATCATTATTTTAACTACATTAATATATATTTTTAATTTCTCATATAGTAAACAGCCATAGATAAAACTCACATAAACAAAAGCTCTTTGGGGTTCTCGACATTTTTTAAGAGTGAAAAGGGGTTCTAAGACCAAAAAGGTTTAAGAACTGCTGATTCAGCAGTTCCAGTAAGAACTAATCATTAGAGAAAAGCAAATTAAAATAACTCTGAGGTACCACCTCATACTCAACAGATTGGCTAAGATGACAAAAAGGAAAATAACAAATACTGGAGTGGAAGTGGGAAAACCAGAACATTAATGCATTGTTGGTAGAACTGTGAAACAGTCTAATCATTCTGGGAAACAATTTGGAACTATGCCCAAAGGGCTATAAAACTGTGCATATCCTTTGATCTAGCAATACTAACACTAGGTCTCTAATCCAAAGAGATCAAATAAAAAGAAATAGAACAGAGATATAGAAATACACATATACACATATATATGTATGTATGTACGTATGTATACATGTGAATATCAGCTCTTTTTGTTGTGGCAAAAAATTGGAAACTGAGGAGGAAGCCATCAATTGGGGAATGGCTAAGCAAGTTGTGACAGTTTCAGCAAAACCTGGAAAGATCTGTATGAACTGATACAAAGTGAAGTGAGCAGAACCAGCAGAACAAGGTACACAGTAACAGCAATACTATAAAGATGATCAATTGTGAAAGACTTAGAAATTCCTATCAATACGATGATCCACAACAATGCCAAATGATTTGTAAGGAAAGATGCTATCCACCTCCCGAGAAACAACTGATGGATTCTGAGTGCAGATTAAAATATATTTTTTCCTCTCTATTTTTCTTGCCTTTTTTTTGTTAACATGGCTAATCTGGGAATATGCTTTGTATCACTTCATATATATGATAGGCATTATATTTCTTGTCTTCTCAATGGATGGGACAGTGGGAGGAAAGATGAAGAGATTTTAGAATTGAAAATTTTTAAAATTTCAAACTAAAAAAAAAAGACCTACAATGAAGAAATTATGGGATTTATTTATTTTCCTATAATATAGATAAAAAAGCCCTCAACACCTCTGTACCATTTAGTGTTATTGCAAATAGTCTTAAACTCTCAAAAATCAATTTGCTGACTGGAAGAAAAATCTTCATTGTTCACGTTATGATCCAGCTGAGACTCTACTATATCTACAATGAAAATTCTAATGTGTAAGCTTATTATTTAAAAGATATGTTTAGTTTTCTGAAGTGCTCAATACCATTTATAACTCTATAGTCTAAGAAACTAAGACTAATAAAAAATTTTATAAGGTCAAAATAAAAACGAATTCCAAGACCAACTACAAATATATATAATACTTTTCTGAATTTTAGATAGATACCATCTAAAATCTCACAAGTTAAAATCCTCTGGTTCAATGATACAAACTTTACTATATGTGATAAGAAAATCTAATGAATATTCAAAAACAAAAGGTTCAAGCTTGCTTCAGTTTTTTTAAATGTCACTAGTTATTTGTTAATGTATTGGTTTGTCATTGCTGTTTTCCTTCTCAATATCTAGCTAGTTTCAAAACCCAACAGAGTATTATGCCTTCATAGCAATAGCAGCCTGAAAGCAGGGTTCATCTGCCCCTAAAAGAGCAGACACTCACCTGTAGGTGGAGTGGAAGAAACAACAGAGGGAGTTGGAGAAGTGAAGCCATCAGCAAGGGGCTGAGCTCCCGCAGCAGCACCATCTGGGGCAGTGGAAGAGGGGACAGCAGCAGGAGCCAGAGGGGCAGGGGCAGGGGCAGAAGTGGCAGGAAGGGGAGGAGTGCCAGCTGAGCCAGCAGGGGCTAGGCAGAAAGAGGAGGAAGAGGAAGCATTAATAACGCTATCACAGTAGCCAGAATTAGAAAAAAAGCCTTTTGAGTTGTTAGTTAGGTATTCAGGCCTTATTACTAACCAAATGAATGCAAGAGTTGGAAAAAAGCAGCTCGTGTTAAAGGACTGTTACATGTGCAGCAAATAAATTAACATGCTTAGGGTACTGCTATAGATTTATAAATCCATAACGAAAAAATAACTTACTTAATGCCCTTTTTACTTGAAAAACACAGAGAAAGGTAGAGATGGGGAGAGAGAGAAAAAGGAAAAGAGAAGAGATGGGGGGAGAGAGAGAGAAGGAGAGAGAGAAAAGGAGGGAAAGAGAGAGAGAGAGATTTTTTTTTGTTAGTGACAGGAATTGAAAACAACTTATTTTTCTAAACCCTAGATTTCAAAATTCCATACCTCAGTATAGAAGAGAAATACATAATGCCAAGTTAAAAACAAACAAACAAGAAATTCTTCTTCCTAACTGTATCATAAGATTACATCTGATCATGTTAATGCAGTAAACTACAAAAAATGGCCCGGCCACGTCTCCCCAATGTCAGTAATCTCCAGTGGCTCCCTATTACATCCAGGATCATATACAAAATGCTCTGCCTGGCATTCAAAGCCCTTCCCAGCTTTCCAGTCTTCTTACACCTTCCTCCCCAACATGCACTTTGACTTGGTGGAAGCGGCCTCTTGGCTGTTCCATGAACGGAAGACCCTCTATCTCTCAGTTCTGAGGATCCTCTCTGGCTGTTCTCCATGTGTGGAATGCTCGGCTTCCTGTGCTCTGCCTACTGAACTCCCTGGCTTCCTTTAAGTCCCAGCTAAAATTCCACCTTCTACAGGAAGCTTTCTCCAACCTCTCTTAATTTCAGTGCCTTCCCTATGTTAATTATTTCCTATTTCTCTTGTACATAAGCTTGCTTGTACTTATTTGTTTGCCTGTCTCTCCCATTAAGATCGTGAATTCCTTGAGGGCAGGGGCTGTCTTTTGACTCTTTTTGTGTCCTCAGTGCTAAGCATTTTGTCTGGGACAGTAAGCAATCAATAAATAACTAACTAAATGACACTGGTACCCACTCATACTGTTTTTGTTCCATGCAATGTATACACAGATATAGTAAATATATAATATTCACAAAATGAATACAAGGTAGTTTGGGGAAGGAGTACACTAGCTGCTAAAGTGGATCAAGAGAGGGGGAAGAGAGGAAGAAAGAAGGGAGGAGAGGAGAACAGGAAGGGAGAAAGAAGAGAGTAAAGGAAGATGGAAAGGGAGGAGGATAAGAAAGGAAGGGAGGGGACAGCTAGGTGGTGTAGTAGATAGAGCAAAAGCCCTGGAGTCAGGTGGACCTCAGTTCAAATCTGACCTCAGACACTTGACACTTCCTAGCTGTGTGACCCTAGGCAAATCACTTAACCCTGATTGCCTCACCAAAAAAAAAAAAAAAAAAAAAAAGGAAGGGGAGGAGGATAGGAAGGGGAAAGGAGGAATGGGAAGAAATGGAGGAGGAAAAAATAATAATCCTATTGGCATATTTTTGGTTCAGAGAAGAAGATGGGATAATTCTCATAAAATGTTCAGTTTCATAGTCAAAGAAATTAACAGCCAAAAGTTTATTCCTGTTCATGTTGTGATGACCCAACTGTCAGGAGGCTATGCACCTGGAATTTTATTTAGTTTTTTCCCCCCTAGTAAAAGTAATATATTCACACTGATAGACTCACTCAGCTGCAACTGTGCCCAATGTCATTCTTTTCCAAGATAAATAACTTGGAGTACAGATGCCATCTATAACCATGGAACAGAGCAATGTCATTCTTTTCCAAGATAAATAACTTGGAGTACAGATGCCATCTATAACCATGGAACATCCCTTTACAGAGATGATACCTAAAGCCTTAGTCTCATTAGCATTGAGGTAGCAGAAGAAGAAGGGCACTTTCTAACCAATATCACCAGATGCCCAAAACCACAGTAACAAAGGAAAAATAAAAAAAGAGTAAATACATCAATAACACTTGTTAATTTTTTTCCCAAAAAATATTTTCCAGTATTTGTTCAGGCCTGGTAAACAGTCCTGTTTAAGAAGAGAGTAATTAGGCTTCAAAAAGGAAGAAATATAAATGAATTCTGGGTTTACCTGGAAAGACACTGGGAGGAGATGGAGTAGGGACAGCTATAGGAACCCCCACACTACCACTTCCACTGTTCTCGCGACTGCTGCTCCGGCTACTCGGGTGGCTTCCTCCACTACTACCACTGCTGCTAAAGAAATCAGACCCACCAAGACATTAACAGTGATATAAAGTAATAATTAATCAGAATTTCCCAGAATATACTAAGTTAAGTTTCTGAAATACATAGAGCTACTGGAAAAAAAAAGAGGTAAGAACCCTCCACTTCAATCTTGTAACAACATCAATGGTGTAGTTTTATAAATACAGGAAAAGCAAAAAAAAAAGTCTAGGTTTGAGACAATTCCATTGTTCCTAATACTTTGTTTTAAAAGTTCATGTCAAAAAAAATCTGACAATGTTTAGGTTGTCAACAGGACTCAATTTTAGAAACATAAACATAACATTAACTTTGTTATGCTAAATGTCATTTAATACCTTTCCCAAAAAAACCTCCATTTACAATGAAAATAGATTTCCTTAATATATCTGATTAACTTTAATACACAATCATTCTTTGGTGTGCTAGCCCATACTTAAGGTTTTATCGAGTATAGTTTTTCATCTGTAAAGTTCCACCAAAAAACAACTTGAAAATTTTTCAACATTTAACTTTTTGGCTCACAGTCTTTTCTCATCACCTAAGCTAAGCTTCCTTCTGCACATTTAAACCTTAGAGAAGTTGATAGTTCATTATCTGTTCTTATCTGACTTCCTGATTCCTCAAAGTTGTATCAGAACATCAGAAGAGGAAGGTGAGAGCAGATGTGGTTTAGTGGGAGTAAAGTAAGGGAAAGGGACTTGGGTGCTTTGGAATGAGAAAAATTTAACTGAAGTTATTGAACAGATTATGGTACTACGGCCATCACATTATGTGCTGAGGTAGAGAAAATACCTGTAAGTTCGATTTCTTTGATTCACAGAAGCTGTCCTCACAGGGCTCTGCTGCGAGGGAGCCATATTACGTGTTGGGCTAGGTACGTAATCATTTGGTACCACTGGAGGACGCACTGGCTCCAGTGTGCGATAGGGGGAGTGACGCCTACAAAAAGAAGAGCGTATGTATTGTGTAATTAAGCAAATTTAGGCATAACAAATTCAAAGATAGAGTTGCCAATAGTGAAGTACAAATTGTAATTAGATAGGAAAATGTGTGTTTTTACATCATCCAATCACCTCTTCTTCAGGTATCCTTTGCCTCCCACCTAGTAGAGATTTAAATGGGTATGGTTTTATGCTTTTTAAAAGTTAAATATTATTTCTGTCTCCAACTGTACTTCCCTAACTAATATAGCTTTCTTTGGATAGTTTACAAGAGTACTCACTTTACCTCAGAATACACACACAAAAAAAATGCCCCATTTCTTATTCCCATGTCTTCTAGTATCTATTTTTCATTTGAAAACTCAAAATGCTCTCTAAATATTAAATCAAGCTCTTACAAATGCCCCAAACAACAGGCTATTGTTATTCTTCATGCCCTCCCCCCCATACTAGAGGTGTTCAAAAGTCAGTGCATAACTAGTACTAGGTTCTGGAACCCAATGACGCCCATGCTGGTGCTCAAGGAACCAATTTCCATATTGCTCATTTTCTTTTTTTTTAAAAAAAAAAAAAAGGAATACATGCAAGTGATATTCAACTGTATCCACAAAAATAAAATTCAAATTTTGATACTTAATATTTCTTTTGCTCTTCTATTTTTACAAACTTATTTGCCTTTATTACCTTTCATCTTTGACTACTGATTACCCATTTCCCCCTTCCTTCACATGGGGGCAAAGGGGAAGTTCTAAAACATTATCCCTCATTTCTTAATCCTCTTCCTCATTTCCACTGAGCTGTAATATAGAGATGAGACTAGATTCTGTTAACATACCTTTTTTTGTTTTTCCAAAAAAAAAATTCTCTGTAAATGAACAAAGTTAAAGAGCTAGAGGGCACGAAATAAGAATAGGATGAGATGAAACAAGAAAAAAGTAACTAATTCTCCTCTCTTTTAAATGTCCTGAATTCCAAAATGACATGAGGAGATACATATGATATTCTAACAAAGAAAAAATTAGAATCTTAGGATGTGAGTTTTTAAAAAAGTCCCCTCCCCTTAGGGTACTAATACTCTTCTTCTTAATTTGCCTTTTACTTAAATGAATCTATAACAATTCATGATATGATGTCTCATTATTATCATTCTATTGGGGTCTACCTACCGACTAGCCACAAACCTGTCAAATCCTGGGATGATGTGTTCCTTTCTTTCCTACCTACTTCTCCCCCTTTTCTCTTAAGGACAGGTATGCCACCATTTAAGAAACACCCTTTCTACTATACCATGCTGCCTTCTAAATTTGAGGCACAGTATCACTAGAACAATTATTTGCTTTACAAAGAAACTACTGGGTTCCTTGTAAGTATCAGCTCACTTAGTGCATTTAGATTTTTGTATATACAATGTCTACATTTAAGTATTTTATTTTTTTTCATTTGCAAAACAGCAAGGGGGAAGGGAGACTGAAACTGAAGTGTTAGGACTGCAAATTGAAAATCACTTGGAAATGAAGACATCATCTCTGGAATTACAATGTTAACTATATCTATAACGAGAAAATAGGTACGTTAATTTAGATAAAACTTTTCAGAAACAGGTGGATTGCATAAAACAAGTTAATGGAAAGGGAGAAGAAATTACAGGAGAAGAATTACAAGGTATGATGGATGTGTCATTTAGAATCTGATACATAAAAGTGTGCTCTTCAAACTCTTTTCAATTACGGATGACCCCAGATCCCACATTAGGCCAAAAAAGCAATCCTTTTCTCCCAACTTCTATACTCTCTTCCAAAAAATCAGCTGTGGATATTGGGAAGAGAAAGCCAATCAAATTGCCTGCCTTTGTTTCATCTAAGGGAAGGAGAGGTGGGGCAGAGTAGTGACAAAATTAATATTGTAAAAGGAAGGAAGAGCAGATAGAAAAAAAAATGGTAGTTGAGAGTGGGGGGGGGGGAGAGGAATAACAGTACTAACTGTGTCAAGGAGAAGACAGTGCTAACATTGTCACCAAATGCCTCTTTGGAGCTTTGTAACTTGAAGCTCCAGGCACCCCTCAGAATTTCTTAAAAAAAAAAAAAAAAAAAAAACTTTACAAAAACTCTTTTATAAGATTCTTCCTTAAAGTATGAAGGCAGTGGATAAATTTTACTCTATCACAAACCAAAATAATTTGTAGTAGTTTATATATTTTTTCTAACAAAATATTTTATTAAAAAAAAAACAAAGAGCTCTTACGTACTTTATAGTATTGCTTGAAGGACATAAAAATATTCCATTTGAGGAAACTGGGAAGTCGGTAAATAATTACTCAGGTCCCTGCCAAGCTGTGTTCTCTTATCATAAGAAATGCTTACATTTAGACAGGGCTTTACATCTTACAAATCACAGTTTTGTTTCCCTTCTCTATCCGGCTCTGCAGTTTAGTTTTAGGTTCTAACTTTCAGCCCTTTTCTCCCCTAGACTGGCTAGAATTCCCTTGTCTATCCCCCATTATCTTCTTTGCTAACACTAGCTAGACCTGGCTTTTATTTCCCTTTCTCCCAGGGAGCCTACAAAAACTTCTCCTCCCACTTCATTACATTCTCTTTCCTTCCTATTCTTTTTGTTATTTCAGTTCACTCTCTTTTCCATTGTTCTTTCTCATATCTCAGCTCAATAGTTTCCCTGTTCTCAACTGTTCCAAAGTACTTAATCCGGGGGGTTTTTTTGGTGAGGGGGCCAAAAACAGAATTGCACCTTAGTCATTTTTAAGCACAATATATAATGCCAATCTGAGACTTCAAAACACTATGATTTTTTAATATTTTTTTTTAAAAATCCAATTTGTCATTAGAATGTCTCTAAAAAGTAGACAGGTCAAATAATACCCCCATTTTACAGATGAAAAAACTGAATCACTGACTACCCAAAAATTAAGAATGAGTGACAGGGTTAAGATTATATAACCCTGGTATCATCCTCCCTCCCAAGTTCTATTATACTCACTGGCACACAACATATGCATGAACACAGTAAGCCAAGTTTTCATTATGATGTTACAGTAATAACAGGAGTTCTTAACCTGGGGTCTGTGAATTTGTTTTGTTTCATTGTTAATATTTTGATAACTGTATTCCAATGAAATTGATTTGCTTTATAACACTATTTTATTTTATGAATAAAAAAAATTATTCTGAGAAGGGGTCCATAGTTTTCACCAGACTGCCAAAAGTATCCTTAACACAAAAAAAAAGGTTAAGAACCCCTAAAGTAGAAGAATGGCAAATTTCTCCCTGAATGGGCTTTTTTTTACTGAAGTCTCATATATAGTCCAGCTAATCAGAAATGCAATATGTGTACAGGTTTAAGTTTACACAAAAATTTAGGTTATGCAAAGTTTTTTTTCCAACAAAATATTGTAAGCTCAGCTCAAATATAATGAGAAAGATGCCACAAACCTGAGAAAAAGCTTCCCTCAAAATTCCAATGTAGTTTTATGTAATGAATTCTAAGTCCATACTAGTATTTTACCTGCAGTTTAAAAATAGATAGCAAATAATACTAGAATGCTTTTATTATCATCAGAATCTATTTTCTGAGAAAGAAAACATACAGGACAGAAAAAATCAGGGAGGAATTTTTTTTTCTTCAGGTTCCATATCATGAGAATCATGTTTAAATAGGCATTGTTTTATTTTCACATATCACTTGAGCTACATGCTGTTTTATAATAATAAGTTACATACTCACCCAAGTGTTCCTTTGCCTGACATTGGTGGGCTGGGTGGTTTCTGAGTAGGTGGTGTTGTACGAGGCAGCCCACCCATCTTCATATTCTGTGTACTCACCTACATAAAACAGTGAGTAAAACTCAATTTAACTTTTAAGTAGTGAAATATGGGGCACCTATGGAAAATGTTGCTATAGGGGAATAGGGGAAGGACCAAATAGAAAAAAAATTAGAGAGGCCATGCACTTCATATGCAATTTCTACTCTGCTATTATTCTAGAGTTGCACTCAAAGGACTCTTCCATATTTGGGGTTTTCAAATTATCAATTACATATATAAAGACTGTATTTGCCATTAGGCCATCACACCAACAACAGATCACTGGCAAGACATATCTGATATATCATGCAACTAAAATTCAAGAGGGATTGATTAGATTAAAATCTTGTCCTTAATACAGGATAACAATTTGAATAAATGTTTAAGCAGTTGCTTATTTTTAAAAAACACTTTTAAAATAATAAAAAAAATACATTCCCCCAAATAAAATGAAATATTCAGTGGCCTAAAAATATAATCTACTATAACTGATAAATCTAAATTGTAGCGGCATTATAAATTGTACAGTATAATTTAGTATTTGGATAATAAATAGGTCAAGTTTACATCACAGAAAGTTAAATGCCTATCTAATGACCTTATTAGAGTTCACTAATAAGAAAACTTCTGAAAACCAAGCTGTGACACACAGGAACTACTTTCAAAACAGCTGGACCAGGACTTGAGGTTCACTGTGTTAAAAGCCAAGCGTAAGCTCATCTCTGGCTACCATTCCTAAAGGAGAAATGCAAGCATGGAGGTACGGCACTCAGCCGAAGCCTGCATAAGGCCCAAATCCCTTTTCCACCCCTCACTGAAAATTCAAGTACCAGAGGAGGAGGCAGGCAGGCAGGCAATCTGGAAGCACTGGGTTCCATCACAACTAAATCCACAGCCCCCAGAGCTTGAACACCTGGCCATGGGTTTGGAATAAAAGGTACATGGCCACTGTAAACATGATTCAAGTCTAATATCAAGCTCTTTGCTACCACAATTTGATGAGATTCTACATAGTCTGTATCTGGTAGTATCTAAAAGTAACTACTAAACATTCCTTCTAGATATTCTATCTTCTATAAATGATGAAGGAAGCATGTTCCCTTTCTAACCAGATTATGTATTCATGTTCAGTTTGTCCCTGCAAAGAATATTTGAAGCGCAAACTACAAGATATTAAGTTATAACAATGGAATCTATTTTAGGACAAAATTTATCAAAGTTATTGCTAAAGATGAATATGAAAAGGAAAATAGATCCAAAAACTGTGTTGATTATTTGATCTGATGTTAAACAGAACCTTGGTGTAAATTAAAAATCTTAAATGTGGTAATGCTACTTTGTGCTCACTTTTCTTAGTTGGAAGTCAATTTTATTTCAAGAATATATAAAGCACATATTTTTTTTACTAAAAATAAAATACTTTTCATAGATGAATGAAATAGTGAACAAGTTGTGGGGGATGTTAACAGTCTTCAAAGGTAACACCTTTCAAGATTTTAAAAAATAAAGCTATAATTCTTCATGGTTGTTGTTGCCTTAAAAATGAAGGTAAAATGGAATATACTTTAGGTATTAATAAAACAAACTAAATCTTGCTCTTCCCCTCATCAGTAATTAGAGGGTATAATAAACCATATTATTGAACTCATAAATATTACAAAACAGTACATCCATAATGGAAGACAATTGTAAGTTAAAATTACCAAATTGAAAACTATATTTTGTCATTAACTTTTATTTTACTGTTGCATTCTTTAATGAAGTCCTTTAAGCTCAACTTTAAGCAATATGAAACCCAAGGTTACTATAAAGAGATGAGGAATAAAAAGAGAGACACTAAACTACATCAATTTCATAGGTATTGGGAGAAAAAGGAGCAGGGAAAGAATAAAATGAGTGAAAGAGGCATTTTATTCTATATACGGGGCATATGAAACAATTTTTCCAGCTTGAAATTTTTCTTTATTTGGTTTTTGGAAACTAATGTGTTTCTTTAAATTGCAGTATCTTCTATACGTCATTTATGAAACTTGAATAAGCACTTACCTGTCTGAGTTGTCCAAAAAAAAATAATAAATCATTCCATAAGGTCAAATTTGGTACTCATGTTTGAACATGTCAAATTTAATAAGTTACAAGATTTCCAGAATGTTTACCTGTTTCCATGAGATGGTTCATATATATGTGATGATTAACAAAATTTACAATTAAGGAATTCAAGCAGAATTCCCAATTCAATCTGAATTTTATGCATTCCCTGGTGATAGCCACCTTTATATTAAACTAAAATAGATTCAGTATTTAATCAATAAATCAAATACAGGTTTTGGAAGTACTAACTTTTAAACACACAATACAGAACACAAACAGAAACCAAGTACTGCTTTTAAAAAGTCAGGTTAAAAAAGGAAATAAGGTATAATATTAATGTAATTTGAATGGAAAATGCCTATAGCCTTTACCCAATACTTCAGTTAGTCCACAGTTAAAACACAGAGTTAAAACACATGCTGTTCACCATGTTGTGAGACGCCTGAGGTGCCTACACCTACCCAAAGGATGACACTGGGTGGATGTACGCTTGGAAAAAGAAGGGCTCTGGCAAATGGGGAAGACAGACCAATTGAGTAAGAAGGAAGAGAAGTTAGTGCAGATTTGGAAGAAGAGCAGCCATATAAGAAAGTGAAACAGATGTTATGGACTTAGAAAAAAATGGGACAGCTAAACAGAGAAGCAATGAGAGAGACAGAACTTGAAAGAAAAGAGAGCTGTTCATTAAAATTTATAAGAATAAGAGCCCGGAAGTATCGCTGGGGCAAAGAATATACATACGCAAAGATAGTTCTGAAAGGAAAAAAATCTAAACTATCAATGGTCATATGAAAAAAATGCTCTAAATCACTAAAAATCAGAGAAATGCAAACTAAACAATTCTGAGGTACTACTTCCCACCCATCATATTGCCAAAGTTGACCAAAAAAGAAAATGACAAACAGGTAAAATAATACAAGATTTGGGCAACTGTAGATTGCTTATAGAAAGCAATTTGGAACTATGCTCAAAATGCTATTAACCTGTGCATACTCTTTTGATCCAACAATACTGCTATTAGGTTTATACCCCAAGGAGATCAAAGAAAAAAAGGGCTCATATGTACAAAAATATTTAAAACAGCTCTTTTTGTGGTGGCAAAGAAATGGAAACTGAGGGGGTACCCATCAATTGTGTAGTGACTGAACAAGTTATGGTACATGAATGTGATGAAATACTATTGTGCCTTAAGAAATGATGAAGGGCATGATTCAGAAAAACTTGGGAAGATTATATGAACTGATACAAAGTGAAGTGAGCAGAACCAGGAGAACAATTTATCTAGTAACAACAATAATATAAAAGACAAACATATGAAAGATTTAGAAACTTAGACCAACATAACTGAACCAACCACAGTTCCATGGGACTAATAATGAAACATGCTATACACTTCCAGAGAGGGAGATGATGGATTCAGACAGCACACTGAAGCATTTTGAGGGGCAGGGGGAAAGATGGTTAATACAGGAATCTGTTTTGCTTGACTACATATTTTTAATGGGTTTTGTTTTTCTTGCTTTCTCAACAGGGAAGAGAAGGTTAGAGGGAGAGAATTCAGAACTGAAAATAAAATTAAAATGAATTTTAAAAATAAATTACATTTAACCTTTTATTTAATGAATATACATTATTTATATCCCCTCACAATCCACCTCTGTCTTTAGAGTGGATCAACTTTGCTAAGAGTTGTTGCTCAAAGGCAATGGGAGATCTAAGAGCATGGAGGCATAATCAAGACCATAAGTAGTAAGAAATGCTACTAGTGGCCTCAAAGTATTCTGTCTCTTCCCACTCAAATTAAAACATTATTCTCATTCTCTTATCATCATCAAGGCACTCACACCACCCTCTTACCCAAGAAGACACAGATGGCTGGAAGAAAGAATAGGCTTCCCCAGCAAGGAAGCCAGATCAAAAGGGAACAGGCCTGAATCCTTCAGCAATACAACAACAAAAGACACCCTATGGGAAAACAGAAATCCACAACAGTTTCTTGACAAGGGATATACCCCAGGGATACCAGAAGACACAGGAGCCTACAGTGCTCTAAGTACAAACACACCAAGAGAGATGGAAGCCAGCAACAAGAGTACCAAACATTACGAAGAAATATTGTGCATCAAGGGATATCCAAAAGGTAAACTTATATAAAAGAGCAACTTCAGAACTACCAGTATAGTCTCAGAGAAAACATGGTTTTGGACACAAAGACTGCAAGAGTATGTGGAAGAAATGAAATTATAAGTGAAACAACAGCAGAAGTAAGAACTGGTAGAAGAATAAGTAGCATAGAACAATGAGTTCCCTAAAAATTAGAACAACCAAAGAGAACTCAATAACTCCCTGAGACAACAAGAAATATTAGAATAAAGTGAAAAAACTGAAAAAAAATTGGAGAAAAATAAGGTACCTATCAAAACAACTTACTAGGAAAAATAGGTCAAAGAGTAATTTGGGAAGAAGCTAAAATAATAATGAAGTATTTACATTCTAATAACAGAATCATAGAAAAATAACCCTTTCACAATCCTACAGGATCCTCAAGGGTCACAAATGAACTAGGAGTGGTTTTTTGGTTCAGTTGTAATGGTCTTAAGTTAGCAAAGAAAATGAAAGGGAAAACAACAGACTAGAGAAGAAAAGAGAAAGCAAGCAGTATAATTTACTCTTTTCCAACAATTAGGATATATTAAAAGACAAGTATAAAAATATGGGCGGTAAACAAATATCCCATGATCCTCATTACTCCCCAATTCTTAAAACAGAGAGAGGAAAACCAAATTGCTGTCATAAAAATTTGAAAAAGGAGAAGTTACAAGTGAGAAGAAAATCATTAGAAATCATTTTGGCCAACTCTATGCCAACAAAACTGACAACAAATGAGATGTAAGAATACTTACAAAAATATAGGATACCTAAAAAAA